TCCGGCTGGTGGGTGACTGAAGCTCCCAACCGCTCCTTTTTTTCTTTTTTTTTTTTTCTATTTTGGGCCAGCTTTAGCTCTGAGGCCTCGCTGCTGAAAGCAGGTTTCTGGCCTTTACCTTCTGTATTTGATACAATGTTGCGGTCAGGCTGGCTGAAGCCCGGCTGACTGAAAGTCGGTTTCTGGGGTTTTGTTTAGCTTCTATATTTGCAACATAGTTGCAACATAGTTGCTTAGAGTTGCAGCTGAGAGGCCGGCAAGTCAGGTGGGGAACGTTGGAGTTCGCCATCACTGGAGCAAGCCAGCCTCCCTGTTCGCTTCAGTGCATGGCTGCCGGCCGCCATCTTGGCTGACAGTTAATTTGCATAAGGATATGCTTATTCGCCAATGGGAAGGGTAGCGGTCGTATGCTAATTACCATGTTTCTCTTTTATTAGTGTAGATATAATTTTTTTTTTAATCCTCACCAGAGGATATTTTTTCCATTTATTTCGAGAGAAACATCAACACATCAACGTGAGAAAGACACATTGATTGGCGTGCCCCTAATGGGGCTGGGGAACCTGCAACCAAGATAAATGTCCTTGACTGGGAATCGAACCTAAGACCCTTTGGTCTATGGGCCGGTGCTCTAACCTTCTAACCTCTGAACTAAACCAGCCAGGGCAATAAAAACATATTTAAAAATAAGTGAATAAAATAAAAGGGGACATCTGTAATATTTTCAACAGTAAAGATAAATTTTTTTAATAAGAAGTTTTTACTGAGTAACTACTACAGATAAGGCACTATACCTGGTGTTTTTCTGTATGTTATTTTATATTGTAAAATATTTTTATAAGATATTTTCTGAATTCCGTAATATGTATTGTTCCTTTTATGGCAATTTTTTATAATTTCAGGTCAAACTGAAAAAAAACCTGGGGAATTGGTTGTTCACTTAGAAGATTATGTAAATGAAAGGTAATTTATTTTAAATTTTTAAATATTTCATTCTGTTCAAAGATGTTTCTAATAGGAAAAGGTTCTGCTTTTATTTTCTAGTAGACCAGAATGAATTTATTCTGGCTTATGACTATTTAGGCTCATACTACAATCCAATGGCTGATCCTTGACTGCTCAGCTAGTCAGCATTATATGCGGACCTTGAACACATGTTCTATCTGCTGCAAGTTTACAGTCAAATGGAGAGAAAGACATGGTAAAATGAGTGTAGAGATTATAATAGTTGAGATTCCTCAAACTCTGTGTAATGAAAAAAAAATCATATTAATCCAGTGTGCTTTAAAATTTGTTCGGAGCAATAATATTTAGTCTCTTTAGGTTTACCTCCGTTCTCCTTTCTTTCTAAGATTGTATCTGAGTAGATGAGTGAGGGGCTCACTGGACTTTATGACTGAGGAGAGGTCCTTGACCAAGGGTCTTTGTCAATATCCTTGTACTGTTGGTCTCATTCCTAGATGTTCTGTGACTGCTGTTATCTCTGGTTCATATACTGGTACATATGGTCTATTCTCTCTGAATTTAGATAGGGTCCACTCTTACCCCTCATCAGTACGGTAGGACTTTCTGAGTCTCTTCCATCTTCTTCATCTGCTCTGCGATTGTCCAACACGTATGCCAAGCCTTTGCTATGGGTTACCTCATCCTTGCAATGGCAAGCTCCTTGGCAAGTCTAAACTCAGTGTCGATGTCACTTGTGAACCAAGGGAGAGCTAACATGAAAATTATATCCTCTCTGCCTAACCCCGCTATTCCATCCTGTTAAAAAGCTGGGGCCACCTTATGTTGGCAGGAAGCTGCCCTGCAAAGCACTTTCTCCCAGAATCTCAACAAAGGATGTGGAAATATCTCTCCACCTTTGGTGTTCTCAACCTACATAACATTCCTTCCCCCACTGAAAAACCAAAGAGGCACACAGATTACTGTCTTACTTCCACCACCACTTTTGCTGTCCCCTCCTCCCCCTCTTCCCCTCCCCCAAACCAGGCAGGAAGCCATCTCTTGTCTGATCTATGGCAAAGGGTTTGGGGGAGATGTGGGCAGTGACTTTGAGGAATTGGGGCAGATGAAAACTGGCAAGCTGAAATCAGCCCTACAGACATTTATACTGAACTTGTGTTCATTTTCAGAAGAAAATCTCCTCCACAGATGAATGATTTTTGTACAAAAGAAAATAAACCTGTCAGAATTGATCCATTATGTGAGTCTCATGCAGTAGGAAAGAAAAGCTTGCTCCCCTTATGCTTTGAGGATGAATTGAAAAAGCCAGGTGCCAAGATAATCAACATTAGTCCGGCAAAGACAGTAACTGATCACAAGGTAACAGTTTACTGCTGTTCAGTAAACGTGTGTATTCCACGACTTGTGGGAATGTCATGTTAGAGTGACCAGAATCTTTGGTAAATCCTTCTTTTGGTTTCACACACTTAAAGTCCTAATGCTCTTTTTGAAACCGTCACCCCCAAACTGGGGGTTCCTTTGCACCAGCTGAACATTCCGCATGTTTTTAAATGAAGAAGGCTTTATCAAATTTTCTCGATTGTAAGGAAATATGAAATAAAAATGGTATTAAAAAAATGGATCATGCATCACTTTTCTATCAATCTACTTCAGCTATTTCAACCAGAAAGTCCACTTATTACAGGCTATTTGGCAGCTCACAGAGTCTCTAGGAAGGCTGAAAGCTGTCCAGTCAGAAGTCACCAAGTTACAGACTCAGACTGCTCCACTGGGGCCCATGCTATTGTCACAGATGACTATCAACAACTCTGATTCTGGGCAAAGGACACTATTTCTAAGACCCTTGTGCACCGGGCCTCTAGTACTAATATATAATTAGATAGATCTTAGTTTCTTATTTTATTAACTAGAGGCCTGGTGCATGAGATTTGTGCACTTGGAGGGGTCCCTCAGCCCAGCCTGAGCCCTCTTGCAGACCAAGAGCCCTTGGGGGATGTCCGACTGATGGCTTAGGACTGCTCCCCAGCAGTTGGACATCCTTAGTGCTGCCCCCACTGAAAAACCAAAGAGGCACACAGATTACTGTCTTACTTCCACCACCACTTTTGCTGTCCCCTCCTCCCCCTCTTCCCCTCCCCCAAACCAGGCAGGAAGCCATCTCTTGTCTGATCTATGGCAAAGGGTTTGGGGGAGATGTGGGCAGTGACTTTGAGGAATTGGGGCAGATGAAAACTGGCAAGCTGAAATCAGCCCTACAGACATTTATACTGAACTTGTGTTCATTTTCAGAAGAAAATCTCCTCCACAGATGAATGATTTTTGTACAAAAGAAAATAAACCTGTCAGAATTGATCCATTATGTGAGTCTCATGCAGTAGGAAAGAAAAGCTTGCTCCCCTTATGCTTTGAGGATGAATTGAAAAAGCCAGGTGCCAAGATAATCAACATTAGTCCGGCAAAGACAGTAACTGATCACAAGGTAACAGTTTACTGCTGTTCAGTAAACGTGTGTATTCCACGACTTGTGGGAATGTCATGTTAGAGTGACCAGAATCTTTGGTAAATCCTTCTTTTGGTTTCACACACTTAAAGTCCTAATGCTCTTTTTGAAACCGTCACCCCCAAACTGGGGGTTCCTTTGCACCAGCTGAACATTCCGCATGTTTTTAAATGAAGAAGGCTTTATCAAATTTTCTCGATTGTAAGGAAATATGAAATAAAAATGGTATTAAAAAAATGGATCATGCATCACTTTTCTATCAATCTACTTCAGCTATTTCAACCAGAAAGTCCACTTATTACAGGCTATTTGGCAGCTCACAGAGTCTCTAGGAAGGCTGAAAGCTGTCCAGTCAGAAGTCACCAAGTTACAGACTCAGACTGCTCCACTGGGGCCCATGCTATTGTCACAGATGACTATCAACAACTCTGATTCTGGGCAAAGGACACTATTTCTAAGACCCTTGTGCACCGGGCCTCTAGTACTAATATATAATTAGATAGATCTTAGTTTCTTATTTTATTAACTAGAGGCCTGGTGCATGAGATTTGTGCACTTGGAGGGGTCCCTCAGCCCAGCCTGAGCCCTCTTGCAGACCAAGAGCCCTTGGGGGATGTCCGACTGATGGCTTAGGACTGCTCCCCAGCAGTTGGACATCCTTAGTGCTGCCTTGGAGGTGGGAGAGGCTCCCGCCACCACCACTGCACTCTCCAGCTGTGAGCCTGGCTTCTGGCTGAGTGGCGCTCCCGCTGTGGGAGAGCACTGACCACCAGGGGCCAGCTCCTGCATTGAACGTCTTCCCCCTGGTGGTCGGTGTACATCATAGCGACCAGTCGTTCTGCCGTTCAGTTCATTTGCATATTAGCCTTTTATTATATAGGATTATACTAGAGGGCCGGTGCACAGATTCATGTACTAGTGGGGCCTCCAGGGATCGAGCCGAAATTGGCTCTACGACATCCCCCGAGGGGTCCCAGATTGAGAGAGGGTGCAGGCCAGGCCGAGGGACCCCACTGGTGCATGATCGGAGCTGGGGACAGACTGTGGGAGCACTCCAGAGTGTGTCTGGCCTGCTTCACCCAGGCCTGATTAGCTGGACCCCAGCAGCAAGCTAACCTACCAGTTGGAGTATATGTTCCCTAGTGGTCAGTGTGCATCATAGTAACTTGTCAAATGGTTGAACGTCAGACACTTAGCATATTAGGCTTTTATTATATAGGATATTTAAAGAAAAAGTAGCAGTCATTGTAAACTAAACACTGATAATATTTATACTTAAAAGTTTTTTTGGAGTTAATTTTTTTGCTCTAGAAATGTGGGGAAGAGATTCATGAGAAGCTCATACATACACATTTTGCTATTACTGTGATAAAAATAGTCTATTTTAAAGTCAATCTACCACTTTGGCTACTTTATACTGCAGATATATATTGGGCACTTTTTATGTGTTAAGTATTGGGGCACAATAAAAAATACAACCGTTGTAAAGATAATTTTAGATTTTCTGAATTATTTACTAGGATATCCAGACTTTGAAATTTGTGTTTGTAATCAGTTATGTCTCTTATGACCTTTGATTCAATCCATTTTTTTTATATGCTTCTTAATTCTGGACATGGAAACCTAAGAAATGTCAGAATGATGTTTTATTCTACCAATAGCCCACCTTATTTATAAAAGGGTTTTAGAAGGCCCAAAGTTCAGATTTTTAACCCTAACATCCTGATAAAATATTAAGAAGAGAAAGAAGTATGTCACATACAAGTACTTGTTTTTGGGTGTGCACGTTTGAATATCACTATCATTCATATTTAAAACTTCTATGTATCTTTTTTGAATATTTTATTTTGTTTAAAAATATATGTAGCCATCTTGCCTCAATAGACTGGTGACTAAGTACTCTTTTCTTTAATTCACAGGAACAAAATTACACAAATCCCATAATTTTTCATGAGACTAGACATGTACAAATGTTTCTTTTAACAAAAAATAGGCTTCTGCTCCATCCTATGGAAAATAGAAACATTGGCCCACGCAAAAGAGTACATTTTGCTTTAGAAAGAAATGAAATTATCAAACCTGAAATTAATAATCAATTTATTACTTCTACCAAACCTAAAAATATCATGCCTACAGCATGGAGGAAGCAGGCAATATCTTTTGCAGTGTGTCACAGAGTTGTAGAAGATAAACTAAAGAAGAAAACTACTATGCAAACATCCAAAAACATATCTGAGAAATCCTATAATTTCTCAGAGCCTCTTTCCAGCCTAACAAAAAAATGTGTAGATTTCCTTGGTAAAACTGTCATTCAAGAAACAAGTGCTAAAATTGGCAAATTTGAAAGAATGTTGTTCACAGTAACACCAACGAGCAAATTCAGTGCTTCACCTGTCAAATGTTGCTCAAAGCCTTTAAAACACATACTCCAGGTCCACAAAATACTGACTGTAACTCCACTGGATGATTTGTTAACCTTTTAAAGTGAAAATTAAATGCCTCGTAAAATATTGTTTACCGTAATACTTGGGTAACAAGAAGCAAAGAACAAAGTTTCAAGATCATAGAAGAAATTCTTGTTGAAATAGTAATGTTCTAATGGATGGCATAAGAAAGCAAAGCATAAAAATTGGAGTTATAAATCAATAGACCTCTGTTTAAGAAAAATCAATGTTTTTACAAGAAAATAAAAGAACAAAATTAGGAAATAAGTATCAACAAGGGGAATTAGTTCATGAATTTCTATCACCCCAATTTGGTCCTCAATCACCAGCATTCCTACAGTAAAATTTGATTTGGACCAAGAATGTCAGATTGATTCTGGAAATTCACTATTAGAAGCCAAATAACATCGATAACTTTGCTCTATAATTGAATAAAAAATAAAATGAATGTACCATTAGCTTGATGTATTTGGAATTAATCATATCAGCATTGTAGATAATCATTGAAAAATATTTTACATTAGCAATTTGTGCAATTATAAAGGCTTTGTAAATTTTCAGATAGTTTTTTGTTAGTAAATGTTAAAACTTCATTACTATAAAATGCCTTTTTCAAGTATAACTTTGACTTTTTTCTCAATTGTTAAACAATTTAAAAGGACAACTTATCCTTCATAAGCTAAATAATATTGGTAGCAAATCCTATAAAGTATTGAACATTTTAAGTATAGTATTTAACTTCTCGTTAACCCGGACAGGAAAAAGCAGAACTCAACTTAGAAACAAGTTGCATTTCAAAGTTCACTTTTAAATCCATTTGTTAGAGGATTAAAAACTTTTTTTTATGATTTCAGAGAGGAAGGGAGAGAGATAGAAACATCAATGATGAGAGGGAATCATTGATGGGCTGCCTCCTGTATGCCCCACACTGAGGATGGAGTCCGCAACTGAGGCATGTTCCCTGACTGGGAATCAAACCATGACCTCCTGGTTCATAGGTCAATGCTAAACCACTGAGCCATGCACTCCAGCCAGGCATTTCTTGGAAGATTAAAAAAAAAAATCTTAACTGTTAGTACTTGAGGAGAATTGTGTTTAATTAGAAGCATTTCAGTAAGGGGAAGGCTTTGGGGGTCTTTTGAAAACTTCCAAGGGTGAGGAGATAAAGTTGTTCAGGTTCCTGTTTCCACTTCAGACTGAAGGTTGTCCTTATTGTGCGTCATCAATGCTACTCTTGGGTGTCTCTTCACAAGTAGCAGCAACTTGGGCTCTCAAATAGAATGACCAGAAGAGAAAATGGAGATGGGAGGGGGTGAGAGGGGTATAACTGGAGACTAAATGAAGGAAGAGCAAAAGAAAGGGTTTGAATATAGGGTGGTGGGCTCAGGTACGTGGGAGGTAGGGGAGGAGCATACAAGCTTTCCTGGCTGTTTGCCTTTACTAGTATTCCAGTTACTGGCCAGGGAGAAGCAGCAGCCACAGTTCAAAGTCATGAAGTCATCTTGCTCTTGGCCCAACAAACAGGGATTGACCCTCTTGTTCTCTTTACTTGCTCCGGTCTATTCTCCCTGTACCCCATCCCCACCCCTCTTTTCCCTCCTCCCAGGCTCACTACAAAGCAAAACAGTTTCCCTAACTACTCTGCTGGCTCAGAAAATAAAACACAAATTCTTTTTAATTACTAACAATAAAAAATAAAAAGAAATAGAAAATGTACCTAATAATACACAGTAATGATGGTTGTTTTTTGTTTGTCTGTTTGTTTTCTGATATTCAGTATCAGATAAACAACTGTGCACCTTGGGTTCGGGCAGATGTGAATGAAGTTGGGTAAACAAAGTAAACTATCTGAGCCTCACTTTACTGTATCCCCTCCTTAAGAGGAGATAGCCATGTCTTATTACAGTGTTATTTTCAGGATTAAAAAATAATGTGAAGTACCTTGGGTATGGTAAACATTCATTAAAGATTCCTTTCCTATTCCTACCCTTTCCCCTGCTCTTCATGTAAGTATAACATCTTAAAAGAATTTCCTCCAAGTCTCTTAATTCAATCTTTTCTAAAATCTAATTACAGTTTTTAGACTATTGTCTAAAGTAGACTCAAATGAAAGCTGAGGATTTTTGTATTAGTTATTTTTGGTGGTATCTGCTTGAGTTGGTGAGCTTTACCCTTTAGGAAGGCACTCAGTCAACTTAAAAACCATTTTGCTGAGGATTCTCCATTAAAACAGCTGGACAGTTGGGAGCAGTGGATTCTGGGAAGAGGGTGACCTAAACTCAACACCTTTCTTTTCTTCTCTCAACTTAAGCCTGCCATCTCCTAAACCAAACAGCTGCTGGAATCTTTAAGCAGTGGGTTGCAAGGTTAGACATGGTTTCCATTCTGATGCTGAAATCTGAGTATGGTTTTTGGAGACCAGTCTCTGAGTCACAAGGCAATGATGGGGGTTGTGTTATTTCCTGGGACTAGCTGTCCAGTTGGGCTCTGTAGAAATAAAAATTCTATCTAATAAAAAGGGAATATGCTAATTGACCATCACGCCATCACAAAGATGCTGGCGCCCACAGCCAATAAGGAGGGAATATGCTAATTGACTGCCCTGCCCTCAAAGATGGCAGTGCCCACAGCCACAAGATGGCCAGTAGGGGAGGGCAGTTGTGGGCGATCAGGCCAGCAGGGGAGGGCAGTTGGGGGGACCAGGCCTGTAGGGGAGGGCAGTTGGGGGCAACCAGGCCGGCAGGGGAGGGCAGTTGGGGGTGATCGGGCCAGCAGGGGAGCAGTTAGGCATCGATCAGGCTGGCAGGTCCGTAGTTAGGGGGCGATCAGGCTGGCAGGCAGAAGTGGTTAGGGGCAATTAGACACGCAGGCAGGTGAGTGGTTGGGAGTCAGCAGTCCCGGATTGTGAGAGGGATGTCCCACTGCCAGTTTAGGCATGATCCCTGGGTCCCAGATTAGAGAGGGTGCAGGCTGGGCTGAGGGTCACCCCCGTATAGTGCATGAATTTCGTGCACTGGGCCTCTAGTATAGTATAAAAGGACAGCCCTGGCTGGTATGGCTCAGTTGGTTGAGCATTATTCCATGCACCAAGAGGTTCCCGGTTCAATTCCCATCAGGGCACATGTCAGGCTGCGGGTTCCATCCATAGTAGAAGATGTGCAGGAGGCAGCCAATCCATGTTTCTCTCTCTCCCTGTCCCTTCTTCTGGTAAGTGAATATGCTAATAAATGCAAAAAAATGGTTAATATCCTATAGGGAAGTGGTTCTCAACCTTCTAGCCCTTTAAATACAGCTCCTCATGTTGTGACCCAACCATAAAATTATTTTCATTGCTACTTCATAACTGTAATGATGCTACTGTTATGAATCGTAATGTAAATATCTGATATGCAGGATGGTCTTAGGCGACCCCTGTGAAAGGGTCGTTTGACCACCAAAGGGGTCATGACCCACAGGTTGAGAACTGCTGCTATCTAAACTAATAAAAGAGAAACGTGGTAATTAGCTTACGACCGCTACCCTTCCCATTGGCTAATCAGCATATCCTTATGCAAATTAACTGTCAGCCAAGATGGCGGCTGGCAGCCATGCACTGAAGCGAGTAGAGCAGGGAGGCTTGCTTGCTCCAGTGACGGCGGACTCCAACGTTCCCCGCCTAACTTGCCGGCCTCTCAGCTGCAACTCTAAGCAACTATGTTGCAAATATAGAAGCTAAACAAAACCCCAGAAACC